AGTACCTAATCCCAGTGGGCTTCTAAGTCCCTTGAAGGATGTAGAAGTATCCTTTTCTCCTTGCCATTCCTCCCTTCTCTTCCTATAGTGTCTGGCAGTCAGTGTCTATTTGGAAGGCTTCAGAAAATCTCCTGTCTGGAGTATGGTTCAACCAGATTGGTGTCCAATAAACCTCTTGACAAGACGATGAAGAGGACATTTCATTAAAAAATAATAATAATTCTTCAAAAATAATAGCCCAGAGGAATGAAGAGTTCTGGGAATGTTTTAGTGAAATTGCATTTTACTGCTACCGTGTTGTTCCTGCTAGAAAGCATAACGAGTGTTGATCACTTGAATTGAGCAGCTCTCAGCAAGTAAGAGGTAAGAAAGTCACTGTAAAATGAAAATTCTCTGACGGTGCATGCAGAGGCTGTGAAGCACCTTTGAAAGAGTTTAGGAAGTGTCATTGGTCTTCCAGCTTCACCACTCCTTTGGCATAGTTCAGCGTTCTCCCCTCAGCCATCTGAGGGCTTTAGAAACCAGTATCTTCACTAGTCACTGCTTAAATGTCTCACTCAAATTCAGTTTAGCTGAATAGGCCAGTTGTTGCATGTTTAATTGGATACAAATGATTATTACATACATATTTTTGAGCTTTAATGGCTGTATATTAGATATGCCCGTATGTGCATGCAGCAGGGCACTGGTAATATATTGCAAGGCAGTAAGGGTAGCTCCTAGGAAGTACAAATAGATGGGCTGGGGGAAGCTGGGAGATGGGTGAAGAAATGGGATGCAGCCAGCAGTGCCGTTCTGTGGTTTGCTGTGGGTGTGCAAAATGCAAGCATGTAGCATGCTAACATAATGCAGGACTAGCACCAGTGCAGATGCTATAGAGATGGAGTGTGGCAGGAGAGAAATAGGGCAACAAGATGACACTTCACTTGCACACCCCTAGTTGTTGAGGATACAGCTGATATGTCCCAGTTTCTGGACATGCATTCAGCAATTAAACACGTGCAAATTACTAAAAAGTAGATCAGATTGGTGAGGGGAAACATCTCCATGCAAACTTCTTCCAAGGTCCTAAGAAAAATGGGTTTAAGTTCATAAAGTCCTGCTGTACAGAGGTGCACAAAGCCTGTCCTAGAAGCAAACATATTTGTTGCCTTGCATTGTTGGCAAGGTACAATGTGGTTCTCCTGTCACCTATATCTGGGGATATTGGGTTATTCAAAATTAGGGTAGATGGAAAGAGATTCTGGATTTCTCTCCTTCTAAGTTGAAGAACAGGAAGAAGGACAATATCTAAAATAGTTGTCACTTTAAGTATAGCAGTTGTCATGCAGAACTTCAGACTTGTAAATTGGGCACTGGCTTGCACCAGAAGATAAATTAAAAGCAGGATGTTGGCAGAATTCTCTCCCCACGAAAAGCACAGTAAGTACAAGAGCTGCTGCCTCCTGCCCTAGGCAAAGGTGAGAGCTTAAGACAGACTTAGTGCTGTCTTGGAGAAGGAAAGATTGTCATTGTGCCTTTACTAATGCCAGATTAACTGGTACTTTTTAAGATCTAGAACACGTTGATTTGTTTTATCTGCATGGAAATGGACAATCCATTGGGAGGGCAAAGGAGTTTTCTTAAACAAGCTTGCTAAGAACTGTGGCCATCTTGCCCTGTCCTTCATATATTTTCTTGTGCATTTTACACTGCTCTGTTTCTTTGCAAAAGATTGTAGGCACATTCTCTCCTTCTCTTAAAAATAATTCCTATTTTCCCTGCCCTCTCCTTAAAATAAAACATACTGGAGGACTACTTTGTCCTTTAATTTCTCTCCCAGGAATGATGGGAACAGGAGCTGGTGTTTAATCATCAAAGAAGCTGAAGCCAACAAACTGTTCATTAGTCTCTGGCAGTGGCAGCTTGGTTTTTACTAAGTCAGATGTTCCATTTTTCTCTCTCTTTCTGAAGCATCTTGGCTTTCCTAATGTTCTTTTATGATCTTGGACAAGGAGACCGTATGTCATTTGCTTATATGGGGTAGGACGTTTATTTGGTCACTTCTCCAAAGGGAGCTGTTTTGTCAAAGTTAGGGGTGGAGGGAAAACTGGGGGACAAAATTAAGTGGCACATCTGGAGATGGAATAAGTTGTACAATGGCCTTTATTCTCCTCATTGCTTCCACCAACTTTCAAGTTTTTGGTGAAATGTAGTCTGAAATTGTTGCCTTCACTTTAAAAGCTCTCTCACTTTAGAAGAAAGGCATTGGAGACGTGGGCTAGGCACAGGAGACACCCATGTTGCCAATAATACTGTATTCTAAGCAAAGATTTGACTATTTTGCATGTAGTATTCTTCAATTTCTAATTCTGGCTTTTGAATCTACTGTAGCCTGCAACAAGACTACACACTTCTGCCTCTGGTCAGATTTTGTACTGGGGTCTGTATAGGTCATAACACAGAGGAAACCAATCAGATCTAACCTTCCAATGATCCACATCTGCCAGGAGCTGTGCTGATGGTTTATGAGCAGCCTGCCCAGGAGGGATGCTTCTGGTGTCTGTCTGTTGGGAGCTGGAGCTTCTGCCTTGCAGCAGGATGCTCTGCATCCTTGGGCTGTTCTCCTTTCCTGGCATGTTAGTCCCTCCCTTTTCTAACCTGGAGGACTGCTTTCTCCACATCATGCCTGAGCCTTCCAGAACGCCATAAAGGAGCTGACCTCCTGCTTTTGTAACAAGTTCCATCGCTTCTGTGGAAAGTTGTTTTCATTACTTTACCTTCAGCCTGTTCTTGTACAGCGACCCACTGCAGAAAATCAGATGCTGTCATCTTAAGCCTCTGCTTAGTATTTATTATTTAATCTGTGCACTATTTTTCCTCCCTTGCTGCTTCCTTCTTCTATCAGAGCCTTTCTACTGTTGTTTTGTCGTTGTTGTGGTTTTTTTCGGTGCATTTAGTTGTTTGTATATTGCTCAGTAACCATTATGTTTACAAAACAAGGTGGAACTCTGTAAGCTGAAGTAGCAGATAACAATTACTTGTTAACTAGGGAAAATGGGAGACCCTCATATTGTTGCTCTGCATTTGTCCTCTCTGGAGTTCTGCAGGCGATACCTTTCTCCATCCATACCCCTCTTGTGTCCACATTCCAGCCTTTCATTGTTCAAGTCCCCTTACATTGTCTTTGTTTTGAGGTCTCTACTGCATCAGAAAGGATGAGCTATCAGTCACATTCTGTTGTTTGGAGATGTACATTAACAGCCCTGTCCTCATTAGCTGGTAGGATGCACTGCCATTTTAACATGTGAGGCCTTCAGATAAGCTCCTCTTCATTCTCTGGGGCTTTTGCTGGCCTCAACATGTGCTGCTCTCCCTCCTTACAGGAGGTCTGGAGTGTCTGCCAGCTCCATGTCCTACTCTCACCTCTGCTTTGTGCATGCATCACATGGGTAGCAGGAGGAGAAGAGAGCAAAGCCTCTGCAAAGGCTGAGAGAGGGGGCTCAGGGCTGACAGCTCACTGAGAGCTGCTGGGCAGAGCAGAGTGGGTCCTTCCAACACAGGTCTTGCCTTTCCTTACCCACTGGGAGAGGTAAGCAGGGAGAACATTTTCTTTTAGCAAGGTCCTTAGCCAAAATCAGAATGAGGGATGGATTGGGAAGCAAGAGTTAGCAAGAGTTTAGTCCTTTAAAAATCATAGGAAAACAATTTCGAGGCCAGAAAACAGGCACTATTTTTTTTTTCTTCTCAATATAATGCAAAGGTGACAGAAATAACTTTTGTATCCAGACAACACCACATATTTGTTGCTCCGTGACCTTTTGGATGTACATGTGGGTCTAGATTTTTGAATCAGAGTTAGGCACTCAAACCCTGGCATGCCATGGCACAGTGGGATTATTGGAGCTTGTTTTCAGAGGTAACCAAACCTGGCTTTGAGTAAAGTAAGTGGGAGAAGGTGGGCAGGCAGGATGCCTCTGCGCTCAGCCCAGATGTTAGTGCAGAATCAAGGTCCTCACCACCCCTCCTCTGCACAGCAGAAATGCCCCTCATGCAAACCTGCATGGTTCAGGGGGCTCCTGTTGAGCTGTCCGTATCTGCATAGGAAGAAACATATCTCTGACCCCAACAGTTCATTTGCGTGCATTTGCAGAGTGCTTTTTATTTAGGGACTTGTGAAAAGTTACTGGTTTCTGTAAGATTCTGCACGTAGTTTCCCCTGCCCTCTTCCTTATCTACATCTTGTTAGCTGGTTGCCCATAAAAATCTGGCTCCTGGCCTATTTAAGAGCTGTTGAGTGAATATTTTATCATTTTGTGCAAGACCCCTTCCTGTCCCACTCATTTATCTGGAAGGAAACAATTATCCCTCCATCACAGCGCCGCAGCACTGTGATGTCTTGGTGAATAAGCTGATTTGGGGCCTCTAGGCCTCTCCAGGATATACAGTTACTGTAGAGCATCTAAAGTAGTTTCTGCAAGGCTACAGCTATGGGCCACAAAACATCTCCCCCTTCCCCTTAGAAAAATCTTGACTTAGCTGCTGTTTTAAGCTTCAGCTTTGTACAGTTGGAGTGGAAGGGAGCAGGAGATACATACAGCACTGCGGGGGCTGAGGATGGTTAGGGCACTGTCCCTCACCCAGTCGATCATGCTCCACTGGTGACAGATTTCCTCCACATATGTCCCTCACCAAGAATCTCGATGAGCTCCCAACTCTGCTCGTATAACAAGGCAGGCGCTAATAGCTTGTCATGGCTGGCCTGGGCTGACTTTGAATCCTTGGCCCAGAGGTAAGATTTTCCACGTGCCCTCGGGAGCTTCCTGAATTTCTGCTCAGACTAGAAGGGGCTTTTAGCAACTTCCTTATTTCCATTTTCCCAGAAGAAAACACAGCCCTCCCCAGCTGGTGGTGGTTCAGAAAGAAGCATCTGGGTGCCAGCAAAGGTAAAAACCCACCAGATGTCTCCGCAGTGGCAGCAGAGAGGGTCTGAGTTATGTCTCTGCATGTTTCTCTCCTAGGACTACACCATCACCATGTACTTCCAGCAGAGCTGGCGGGACAAACGCCTGGCATATAACGACCTTCCTCTCAACCTGACCCTGGACAACCGGGTGGCTGACCAGCTGTGGCTGCCAGACACCTATTTCCTGAATGACAAGAAGTCCTTTCTGCATGGGGTGACAGTGAAGAATCGCATGATTCGGCTCCATCCTGATGGGACGGTTCTGTACGGCCTGAGGTAGGTGCGAGGGGGATTCTTGTTGGTTATGTTTGTGAATGATCATCTGAATTTCCTTCATTTGAATGATATTCTTGTATTTTCTTAAGGCGCAGACAGGGACCCAAGCCATACCCAGGTGCTGCACAGGTTTAAGCATCTTTCTCCAGGCTGGAAATGGTTGTTACCTTCAGACTGCCAAAGATCTCTCTACTGCTATAGACAGGTGTTGGAGATGGGAAGAGTTGGTTCTGTGCTTTTCAGGTTACTGTTATACAGTGCATTCACTTCCATTTGAAAAACTCATTTTCAGTTGCTTATAATTTTCTGTAAGTTTGGCTTAGAGACACAAGAATTCATTACTCCAGTACCTAACTTCTGTAGCACTTGAATCCAAACATTTCAGTCATTTTTGACCATGAAATATAAGAAATGTTTTTGGACCATTAGAAAAAAAAAAAATTGCTTGTCTTTATCATAGCAATTTTGATGGTTGTGCTTTGAAAGTCGATATTTAGTAGGGGAATGGTCCTCAGCGAGGAGACTTCTTGTGGTGTGTAGAACAGATTTGTGTTGGCAGTCCACAGAATTTGAAAGTACTCTGAGTGCAGTGAAGGCTGGCTTGCTGTGTTACCTGGATTTGTGGAGATGCCAGGGCAGGTAGGGGCTAAAAGAGAAGTCTGCAGCTGTAAGTAGAAGTGCAGCACAGTTTTAGATACTGTAGCTGAGATCTAGGCAATGGTTTTCCCAACCCTGTGTTTATCTGCTTTGACAGTTTTTTGTTTGACTAGTTTTTTGTTTTTTGTGTTTTTTGGGGTTTTTTTTTGGTGGGTGTTTTTTTGTGTTGTGTGTTTTTTGCTTTTTCTTTTTTTCTTTTATTCCCTTTTCGACTACCAAAATTCACAGCTGGCTTTTCGACCTGCCTCCACATTCACAAGTGATTGTGGTAGCAGCTCTGGGCTTAAGTCCCAGTGCAGCAGAGGGGGAGGAAAGACCTTTCTCTTTCAAAGAGGGTACACCCACCCTTCCCATTTACAGTATCAGCTCTTCTGCTGCCTTGTGCTTTGTGACAAAATCTGACTTTCTATGATGATTTCCTCCTTTTTAAGTAGCAGTGCTGCTTCTAGGAGAGCAGGGCTGAGTGTGGGCACAGCAAAACAGGGCATTGTTCTGCTAGGGACAATGGGGTGACTTGTACCCAGTGCTTTCCTATGGCAGAGCCAAAAGAGAAGCAGTGGCTGCTTGTGGTAAGGAGCAGGCTGGAGTAGGTAGGTCTTCTGATGTCTGCACTTAATTGTCCTTCTGAATAGAGTATGCTTCTTGCTCTTCTGATACAGCAAAAGATGGAATAAGCTCAGCTGTGAGCCTCCACCAATTCCACCTCTCCTTTCTCAAGAGCATCCATCTCTTGACCTTGGGCCAGTGATGTTGCTTAGCTGATACTGCTCTGAACTTTACTCACCAAAAATATTGTAACCTTCACCCAGCTGGCTACCCCAGATTTCTCCGCTGCATTAAACAAAGTACAAAGGCTGGGCTGGGCAAGAAGATGCTTTGAATCAGGGTATGTAGGAGCAGAAATCCTGTCCTGTTGTGAAGGAGGGGGCACAAAGTGCTGTGAAGCTGGAGCTGCTGAGCCAGCCCACCTGAGTGCAGAGCTGCCTCCCCCAGGCTGGTAGGAGACCTTAGCATGCACCTGCACAGCAAAAGAAGCAGAGATGCTGGTATCTAGTATATTTTTATCAGCTGCCATTTAATCAGCTCCAAGAGCGAACAGTGTGAACCCTGCTGCACGGGTGAAGAGCAGTGGAAGCCCATGGAGGACTTGCAGAGCAAGGAGGATTTGCAGAGCAAGGTGCTGCATGAGCACCTCCAGCACTGTTCCTGCCCCTGTCCTCCTGCAGGGCCCTGCAGCATGGGCAGGGGAGCTCAGCTTCCTCCCAGCGCCTGCGTAAATGGGTGAGCTGAGGAAAACTGCATGCAGGCCAAAAGAAAGAAAATGACAGCTGTTTGCCCCTGTTATTTCCAGGGCCATAGTAAGAGCTGCCTGTGTTGTTTTAACTTTTGGCTGGTTTTCCTGGAAGCTGCTCTCTTGCCCCTGGAGAGAACTGCAACTGCAAAAACGAAGCAGCAAGCAATTGCAACTTCTGTTCCTGGGCTGTGCCTCTGGCCAGGGTGGCCAGCTTTTAATGCCTTGAAGGCACTGGGGTACAGGGGGACAAGCCAGGTGCCCTGAATGCCTGAAGTCTCAAAATTTATTCATAGTGGTACAGATGACGTTTCCTTTAGGGCTTGCAGTCTGGACTGACTCCTGCACCTGTGGTTTTGCTGACCACAGAAGCGTTAAGCACAGTTTTGCAGGTGCAAAGAATTGTGAACGTATTCAAAAATACACAGCCATGTGCACAGCAGGTGTAAGCAGGTAAGAAAACAAGCTAAACATTCACCTGTGCTCCCTTTATCTTTGCACACGTGCACCGACACTTGCTCTGCAAACAGAAAGGGAAGTGCAGGTCCTTCCTGTAGGGTGAAGCCCATCTCGTCTTGTCTTGCATTTTTGAAAGGATTTTAAAATGGAGTTGCTCTGACAGAAGAATGCTCTGAAGAAGGCAATTTCTGTTGGTTCTTCTTTTTTAACATTTGTTGGCCCGTTTGTTTGTTTCTGCCCAAGCAAGATAGCACAGCTCTGCTCCTTCTCCTTCTACCTTCTCACCAGCCATTTCCCCCTCCTTTGAGCTGATCCTGTAGCAAAGTGACTCAATCGTGCTATTTGTGGCACAACAGTCATTTTTCTTTCCAGCAGTCTCTGATGTCAGAGAGCGGGGAGGATGACACCCTGGCAGCCCCGGCTCCAGTGAGCATTCAGGCAGGATCAGGCTCAAACCCCAGAGCAGACCACAAGGTCCAAGTTAGCTCACGTGGAAGTCAGTGGGTATTTTGTTTCTGACCTCAGTGAGGACAAGATCAAGCCTCAGATAACTCATTTCCATGAGTAAATGAAGCCCTTTATTCCACTGCTCTGTTTCATTGTGGAAGCTGTGTGTCAGAAAAGCATATGCTTGTTTTTGATAGAATTAGCGAATTAGTGGATGAAGGGAGAGCAGCAGATGTAATACAGCTACATCTTAGGAAAGCACTCGATACAAAAGCTTACTCCAAAATTAATTCACACTGGGCTAGGATTAAAAGCTGGTTGCCAGGTCTCTGACAAAAGGAATGCATAAACAGCCATGGGCTGTGCTGGGAGGCGATGCGGGGCTGCCACGGGTATTTCCCAGCTCCACTCCCCCAAGCTATCAGATGGCCCAGATCCTGGGGTCTGAAACCCAGATCCTGGGGTCTGGAACCCAGATCCAACCCAAGGAATGCTCCTAGCAACTGAGGTCTGCTGCAGGAGGATGCAAAGCCAGCAGGGTTTTAGGAAGCATGAAGGTGTAGGATTGTGCCTGGGCTCCTCTGGCCCCTCTGTATCTTGCAGGGTTACAAATGTCCATGAAACACAGGCGGTCACCTGGGGCACACAGCAGGAAAGTGCTAAAACAACATGTTAGGTCTGCAGTATGAAGCAAGGCTTAAGGGAACTACCCACCAAGACAAAGCAGTTTGTTGGTGTCACAGAGAGAGGTAAATAAAAAGTGAGGAGGAGCTGGATAGAACTGGCTGGATTTAATGCATTTTTCCTCCTAATGGCTTTCTGTTAGAAATTGCACTGGCTTCATCCGATTTTAAACAAACAAACAAACAACAACAAAAAAAAATTAGGGAAAAATTTTTCATTTATGAAGTGTTTTGGAGTGTGTTGATGTTTCACTCCTGATGTTACGCAGAGAATTTTTCACTCGTGTCAATACCCCCCTCGCTGTTTCAAGCTGCTGGTACTGCCACTGCTGGCGTGTGAAGGGAGGACCAACAAACCTTTTCTCTGGACCTCTGGAGACTGTTCAGCCTCTGCTGTAGTATGCAATAAGCTTTACAACATCACACATAGAAGCTGCATGTAACGGTGTAAGATTTCCATCTCCAGCCTGTGAAGCTTCCATTTGGTAGCGAATGGGTAGCTGACAGTCACCAAATGCTGATGTCATCAGTATTTTCCTATCTGTTTTCAGAGGCCTAAAAATAGAAACCAATGTTACGACGCTGAAATTCTTGCACGGCAATGCGAAATCGTATTTGAAACCAGCTTAAAAACGTCTTTCAGGGAAATCGTGAAGCTCTTGGATTGCTTTCCAATTGAGGGAAAAACAGAATTCCAGCAAAACAGGCGCTTTGGGGGGCTGGAGCTGCAGGTCTGCTCTTGCTGGGACAGTGGGCAGCAGCGCAGAGCTGAGCGGACAGTGTGCAGGACACAGCACCGGGCTTGGCGAGGAGCCTGGGAGATGTGAACTGAGCAACTGAGAGCTGCAGAGAAATTTGATGACACAGACTAAATCCTGCACAGGGAGAATGAGGGATCTCCTCTTGCGAAGGTGGTAGTGGTGGGGTGTGCATGTGTTTTGCTTTGCTTTGCCTTGCCTTTTTTTATAAAGCTGCCCATGAGAGTCACTGCAGTGAGGAGTGCTGGAGCTGAGGCAGTATGGATACAGGGAGGGCAGACCTCCACTGTCCCCATCAGTGTAAATGCCTATTCAGGGCTTGAAGCTAAGCAAAGCGAATAATTATACTCCAAAGAGCTCCACATTTGCAGTTTACACCTGAGTGAATCTTTATGCTTTCACAGGACTGCATTCCCACCACTCCCAAGGAAGGGCAGCCCTTGTGCCACTCCTGGCACTGTGCTTGCTGTTGGGCCAGGCAGCACTTACATACTTCTTCCAGCTCATCTTGTGCAGGGGAGCAGCACAGATGGCCCAGCATCCCCATCTCCTGCACAGGCACCACAGGGCATGCTGCTTCACCGTGCCTCTGAGCCTGCTCTGTCTGCTGCCCGTGGTTTGGGTTCCACTGCAGCTCACTCTAGGGTCTTCTTCAGAGCTCCCATCACCAGCTTTTGACCAGGGCCCAACACTGTCTGCATTGCA